TATTTTTCCTAACAACAAAAGCAGAATGTAAGATGATATCGGGAGGGTTGCATGTCTCAGGCAACATCTAAGAACAAGACCAGGATCCTGACCCCAATGAAGCCACCCCCAAGATTCTGAGGCTGGTGTAAGCAGGATTTTCCTCTGGGCTTTAGTGCACAGTGAGGCAGCCTGGCTGAAGCCACATCCCAAAACAAGAAAAGGAAAAGCACAGACAGGACACTGAGTGAGGCAGAGCAAGGGTTACAGCAGCAGGAATTCCCAATTACCTGAGTGGCTGTGCTTATCCCAGGGCTCTGTTGAGATTTATGCAATCTCATATTACACATGCTTGGCACAGGAATTTTTAGTGGGAATTTGGAAGAGGAGGGATTGCTAGCTGGTGAAGAGAAACTGGAAGGCTGTGGTGGGTAGGGTGGGTAGTGATGAATATGCCCAATAGCACAGTTCAGCACTGTCTGGCTTGTGCAGCCCAGCATTTATTCCCTAGCAACCAAAAGGCAAGGGAAAAACTCTCCCACTGCACTGGACCACAGCTCCCTATGGTTTCCTAAAGCCAGCAGCCTGACTCCACTGCCCTGCAGAGCCACAAATGACAGAAATTTGCAGTGCTGTGAGGTCCCTTTCTTTCCCTAACACCAAATCAAGTTGACAGTGTTTTTTTAAGAGACATTTTAACCTCCAGTGGGCTCATTTTAATGCATTAAGCTGGGTTTGGGTTTGGTCTGAAGGACAGTCCCAGCAAGGCTTTTGCTAAAGCCAGGCACTGCTGCTCTAATGAATTGTTTTAAGCAGCAGGTATTTCTATTTATTCTGGCATCAAATAAAAACCCGCCCTGGAATATACAGAAACATTCAACATGAACCACTATGGAAAATGTTTTTAATGTGAGAATTCCTTTTCCACTCAGAGCAAACCAGCTAGTCTTTTCCCTTTCCTTGGGGATGAATTCTGTTGTTGTGACACTGGCAGGGCACTGGAATCAATACAACCTAGGGAGGAAGATGTAAATGAACAGTACAGGCAGGATGACCAGAATTGTCTCCTGCTGTGGACAGGCCAGCCAGAGGTGGCAAATGGCCAAGGAAAAGATAAAAATGTGCAGTCCCTTATTCAGGTGTTTTACATGGAATAAAAAAGCCTACTTGGAGACACAGACCACAGATCCTCTTTTGCCAAACCTGGGCATATTTTGAAATACTTTACTGCAATAAACAGCCAGGAGATGGGAATGTTTTTCTCCAAACACTGATTCACTTGTGGAAAGAGTCTGGAAAACTATGTTCCTCAATCACCTCTACTCTGTGCTTGGTTTTCTCCAGGCAGCTATTCCTCCAGCTCAGCCTGCCCCTCTGCAGTACACACACTTACTCTGCTTTCTTTTCCCCAACATCAGGCCACAGAGGAGCACATGTGACTGCAGCAGAGGTAAAGTCATTTTTAACCAGGGCAATTTAAGGATATTTAAGACACATTCTCATTTTCCATTTCCCAATTCCTCACTGCCCCCAGTTTTATTATTAGCTGAATACAGGGAAGCTTCAGCCTGGATCTGGGGTAACATGTACACTGAGGAATGAAGGCCAAGCTTTGCCTTGAAATATGCAGGATCATTCCTAACTAACCGTAAAGCTGCTTATTTGGCACTGGCAGTGGAAATATTGAACGAAAGGGGCATTCTCAATCTGCTTATGTCACAGAAAGGTTGGATCCTGACAGTGTGCAAGGCTCCAAGCTGCAGCCTGATATTAATAGCAAGACATTAAACTGGCAATTTGGCTGGCTGGGAGCAGCTCTGCTGGAACACAGATTTTTCTGCAGGAAACGGCAGCTCAGGGTGAGGGATGAGCCCGAAGCAGACTTGGGAATTTTGGCTGGTGTGTGACAAGGCTGTGTCACACAAAGAGAACCTTCCTGATCCTGAGGAGTGGATCCCACAGCAGAGGCTGTTGAAACACCACTGTTCCACACGGGAATACTGTTTTCCTTCTGTCCACCTCCTCTGGAATCCACCCATTCCCAGGCCTACCTTACCCAACCAAGTAGGGCAATGAGCATTAACAAACAATTCCTCACACAAACGTGGTTCTGTTCCATGGTGCAGACAGTGGAGTATCACCCCAAGACACACCTACACATTTTCCCCATTTTTGAGCTTGTTTCTGCCATTATGTAACCCTCCACACTACCCTGGCAGCTGGGCCAAGAAAATTTGAACCAAGTCCCCAGAGCAACTGGTTTCAGTGAGGGGCCCCTGCCAGAATACAAATACAAACCTCCTGCTGCTGCTTTCTCGCTGTGTCTGCATGGCAGGCAAAGATTCCAGACAGGTTTTTCAATATGGATCTTTCAGAGCACAAATGAACACCTCTTATGAGGCATTTAGACTTCATAATCCCACTTTCCAACAACAGCTGGGCCTCAAGGCTTCTGCCAGGCTAAGTTCTTATTTCTCACAATGTAAAGAAAATCAAGGCATTGTCACTGAAAATAACATTACATATAGCACTCTGAGTCCTCTTATTTCAGGACATATAATCCAACAGATTTCTTAGAGTCTCTTGAACATGACTAAGCAACATTAGATTCTGGACTTGTTCTACATCACACCCCCAAGAACCCCACACTCTTTACAGGAGACCTCCCTAAGCCATGCAATCTCCTGTAGCTTTGCACTCAAAATCCTCATTTCACAGAGGTAGACAGAAGCATTCAGAATGCAAGTGACTTGCCAAATGTCACAAAATGAGCCAGTGCCAGAGCTGGGAATAGAAATCAGGAGTCTAAAAGTCCAGATTCTCTGCCTTATATAGAACAGCAGTCTCCTGGTTTAGGAGCACTCGCTGCATTTACAGCATGGCAGCATTGGCATTGCAAGGGGCAACCTCAGGCATAAGCAGGTGTAAAAACACACATGCACCTGCTGAGATGTTCTTCTTCTGTTCAGTGTAAAGCAAGAAATGAAAGCAAGCTGCTGTTGTAGAGAACTTTGGGGATAACCACTAAGACCAAATGCCATGTCACTCTCTGGACTCACTTCTGGCTCCCACAGGCAGCCCTGCTGATTTGGAGAGGGATACCTGGGAGCTGGAGTGAGAAACAGGAATCTGGCAACAGCAGAGATGGCTGAATCTCCAAGATAAACCTTCCTAAGCCAGCATGGAGGATCAATGGGCATCCACCTGTCTCAGCTGTCACAGTCATATTAACCCAAGTCAAGGCCATGTTACACTGCTGCTCATGTCACCCAGGTGTGTGCACATGGCATGGAAACCTGGCTATTAAAAACCTATTTATCTACAACTGACACCTGCTTTTCCCAATCCTCACAAAAGAGGACAACCAGAGAATCTCTTGCATGGTTAAAATTTAGTACTACCAACACTAACCACTTTCTCAAACCAGCTGCGTGTCACCAAAGAACATTCATTAATTTATTCTTCCTCTGCCATGAAAAAATGCAAGTGGCACAACAAGGCCAAATGGAGCACAGAAAATGCAGAAGTGAAGATGTAAGTGCTTTGCTGCCACATAATCAAACTGGCAGAGGAGAAGGTAGGAAAAGCAGGACTGAAGAGAGCAAAGAGGCCAGACTGGTTTTGTCCCAGGAATATTCACTCTCTAAATATCTTGGAAAACTGTGCTGAAAAGAGTAACAAGCGAGTTTAATCTTCATTGCTGTGATCTACTACTTTCTCCACTGCAGCCACAGTCTTCAGCAAGTTGCAGCACAAGAAATAACTTGGGTATTGTAAGAACAGAAAAGAAGTCATAAAAATATTTCCTTAGTCATGCTGTCTCTGGTAATATAATTCCCTGAATAGAGATCTTCAACAATACTCTCTTTAAATATGGAAAGAGCTCTGACTTTAGTCAGCATGTGTCTTCCATCAGCTTCTCTCTTTTTTTTTTTAACTTCTTTATTGTATCTTACCACAGCCACCTCCAGGTGCAGGCACACAGTGTAAAAACCTTCCTCAGTGGAAGTGTGTTTTCCATTGGACACAGAATAAACACATTGTGAGGGATTCCAAATGGAAAAAAACTTGGACACAGAGGCCAGTCCTTGCTCATGGCTATGTATCTTCCAGCTCTGTATTTCCTCCTTTCACCTAATCCCCACACCAGGGAGGGAAGGAGCTGCATTCCAAGATGAGCCTTCCACAGGGCTCCTGCTGAAGGCACTTCCCTCCCTGCCCTGCATCACCCATTGTCCATAACCCCTGCAAGTGTCTCCCTGAACACTGGAGTGTAAGAACAGCTGAAAATTGGGATCATCCCAAGTTTATACAGAATGGAGGACGAGGGGCCACCTGACTTTGAGGCAAGTCTAAAAAAATTCATGCTATCATCACAGAGAGGATGTTGAGCTGTGCCTCCTAACACTGCTGCCACTGTGGGGATTAAAAAAAACAAACCAGGAGAACACTGTGAAGGTTACTGCTACCTGAGTGAAATAAATAAACAAAGTATTTAATGTGTGGGATGTAAGGACCCTGTGTATGCAGGCTTTGGATACAAGTAAAGGCAGTTAGGAAGTAGGAGGAGCAGGAGGCTGAAAAGAAGATTTAACTTGGCTTTCCCACAATGAGGTATTCTTCTCCAGTGTCTGAGTGCCAGCTTGATCAGGGAATGTCATACAGGTTCTTACAATGGGAAATACACTCCTTAGCTAGCAAATTCTTGTTTGAGGTGAGAGAATTGAAAGGAACATTATACAAACACACCAAGAGGCAGTTTCTTCTGCATCCACTCCAAAGAAGTAGAAATACTCAAGAGTGACTCCTGAACCCAGAGACCTCCAGGGCTTAGGAGGGGTTAAAATTTAATGGCTTATTTATAGCTCATACCCTGCTCAGCTAATCCATATCTGCATCACAGAGGTACACAGAACAGCAAAACCAACATGACAGCAAACCAAGGAGTGAAAGATTGCCCAGAACACTCTCTTAGCACAGAGGTGCCTATCAAAATCCCCTCCCCTGCCTCTTGCACTTACCCACAGTGTCACAAGGCTCGTCTTTGTGCACGCAGAAATCTGTCCTAGAAAGAAAAACAGAACAGAAGTGAAATGTATCCTGTGCCTCCAGAGCAGGGAGAAGCAGTGGTGCATGACTCACACATCATGGGTGTTGAGGTCTGGGGATTTTGTAAGGCTGCTGTGCAGTGTACACGATGACAACAGAGATAGCAGCCCTGATTGCTGCTGAGATTACAGACAATTATGTGAATCAGCCACATATACCACAGTCCCACCATCAGACTTGAAAGTCAGCACCTAAAAAAGTCCTGCCTCAGTTTGTGATGTCACATTTATTCCACAACTGGATTAAAACTGAAGCTCCTTCCACAAGAGAATTCATACAATAAGGAGCAGACATCCTGTGATGCACCCTAAAAGGCAGTGGGAGTAGGAGATGTGTGAAGGCACAGAACTAATAATATGTACCCAAAAATCCTCAATTCTTCACTAGAATAGAAAAGAACATGAAAAAAGGAGGACTAAACAGAGAAAGACAGATGTTGACACAGAAGAAGAAAGAGGATTTCAGGATTTTCCTGGTAATGGGTAAATTGGCTTCAGCTAATTATTACACTCAGATTTGCCATGTTACGGTTTGAATCCAACACAGAGAGGTTCAAGAGATTCCATTTGTTCCCCACATCTCATCAAGGCAGGAGAAGATACTACAGATGTCAGTGGCACCCACAAATCAGCCAGGGATCCATGGATGTTTCTGTCTTAAATAAGAATAAAAGCCTTGAAGCTCACCACCAAAGCACTTACACTTCATGTGAGAATATTTTGTACATGAGGTTCCTCATGACAGAAAAACAAGTGTGTGTGGGGAAAAGTATTTTATACCTAAATTATTAGCTTGACTACATTTCAAGAAGCACTTAGACCTAAACTTTTAGGAGGTCTCTTCACCAGGGCTGCTTTGGTGTGCAATCCACAATAAAGAGGAGCTGCAGAGAAACATCACATGTGCTAAAACATTTCAGAAGTTCTTTAACCCAAGGGAAGCTGAGGAACTGTTGTCTCTATCACCTTGGCTTTCCTCACCCTGGGAGGAGGCAAGAGAATCCCACTGGTACATTTGCAGTGTGCCATTTGAAATGCCTGGGTCCCCTTGGGGTTTGGAGTGTAAGAGTTTGGCAGAAGGAAGATCGAAAATACTTTGAGAAAGATAAATACTTAGAAAAAGAAAATACTTAGAAGAAATATAAAAATAGATAAATATTAAAAGCGCTCTTTCCTTGAAGAAAGTTATGAAACTAGGGTTTATAGGAAAAGGGATTTAAGGCCCAGGACTGTGGCTGATGAATCCAGACCCTCCACACCAAACTCCTTTGAAAGCCACAAATCAAGCTGTCAAGGGCTTGGAAGGAGAGCACAAACAGCCATTCCCAGCCCTTGTTCAGCACACATTGAAAACCAACCACGCTTCAGTGCAGAAAAACCATAACAACCATCAAAGTGTTAAAAAAATCAGACAGAAACCAACCAAAAATCGGAAGCTACGACCACACACCGGCCCCAGCTTTCATTTTTCACTGCAGCCTGTGTCTCAACACCTTGGCATTGCAGCCTTCCCAAGGAAGACTAATGACGGTCTCCTGACGGAGCTGGCACCAGCGCGCCTGCTCGGCTTCCCAGAGCCAGCTTGACAGAGGTTTATTTAAGGACTTATTATGTTATATAAACTGCTAAATCAAACAGATGCTTTTCTTGTGACAACAGATAGCTCAACTATTAGTGGATGGCAGGAGGCCACAGCTAGAAAAGCCTCTCTCTCTCTCCAGAGCCTGTCCAGCCCTGCGAATAATGCACAGAATTTCTGCTCCTCACACTGCCCCACACCAAAAGGTGTCTGGCACTTCCTGGCAGCTCCACAGAGGAATTACCACCATGCTAGTAAATAAGGGGTCAGTAAATGATCCAGCACAACTTGCAGGCTCTCCTACAGAGGTAGAACAACCCTTGTGTGTGAAGAGAGTGCTGTGGTGCTGTTTGGTCAGGGAAAGGCTTGAAGCACATCAGCAGCAGAACTGGACATCACTGGAAATTCAAGTATGAAACCTGCTCAGCCCATCCTTAAAACTGTCATAAGCACAAGACCAAGAGACTCCATCTTCTGTTCAAATACATGTACAAAAATGCCAGGATTTAAACCATCTGGACCATTGCAAATACTTTAGCCCAAAACTCTGTGGCCAAGCAGAAAAGCACATCCAGACCTTTAGTTACAAACCAACTTGGTGGGTCTCAGTCTTCTTCCAAAGACAAGGGCACACCTCATCACAAAGCCCATTACTGAAACTCCTACAGTCCTTCCCTGGCAGCCAGGGGGAGAACACTGCATGGAAAGGTGTTAAGGATGATCTGTCTCACCTGTGGCTCAGTCACATCAGTGATTTAAATGGCTCCATCCTGGCACCTGACACTGATCTGCTTTTAAAAAGGTTTCACTGGCAGGCATCTCTCTGGCACATTTTTGAGCTCAACTGCATGGGTAATTTTGAAGTGAGAGCTTGACATGACTGATACTATAATGATGCTCAACAATGCAGGAAAGGTATTTTAATATTTACTGCACGTGCAAAGGTCTCCTACCACAGAGACACAGTCCTGTTAGCAGAATTTTTTACAGAGCTGTGTTGAAATAAAACTCTTACTGTAGGAGCTGCAGTTCAAGTCCAACATCTGACCTTATCACACGAGATCTTGGATAATACATTGAAATCACAGCTCAAGCTGTGAACCAGTTTTACTCTTCACTTTTAGCCATTGACTGAATCAAGCAGGACATGAATTTTCATCCTGTGACCTGTGAAATTCTCAGTCATTATCATGTGTGGTACCCAGCAGAGGTTTCCATTAGCAGAGTACAACAATTCTCAAAAAAAATGACAAGTTCGTTGTTTTGTTCAATAAAAATAGCTAGAAGAGCTCAGAACTCCTCCTACAGTCACTCTTCCATCTGGCTCCCACCAACTGGAAAAAAATACCTAACTGTGCTAAGCTGAACTCTGCAATTCAAGTCCTTCCTGTGAGAAAGAAGGACAGAAGTTGAACTGTGCAACAGGAATAAGAAGCATTCTGTTAAGTGGCCATTCCCAGCATCCTTCAAAGGACATCTTTCGACCAGTCTAACCCTGCAGGGTCATAAAGCTAAAGGACACAGGAAACTGGTACAGTCCAGAACCTGCCAAAATAAACTTTCCACATCCATAGGTACATTCAGCAGCACTATGTGCCCAGTTTCCTCCATGCACAGTGAATTCCTCCATTTGCCCATTTAATGGGAAGGCAAAGAGCTGGAGAAGTGTGGAAGGGAGGACCAAGCTGCAAATGGAACAACTACACCACTGTGTCAGGAAAAAACAAGTCTTTGCTTAAAGACAGCTCTGAATTCTGTTCCTGTCAGTGCTGGGACGTTCTTTGCTCTGCTATCACATCACCTTCAGTCTAATAGCTGACCCAAACACCTCCAGCCAGGAGCTGGGATAACACCAGTGTGCCTGAAGATTTCCCAGGGAATGCAAGAGACAGATCAAGAGAGGGAATGTGTTTCAAATGATACATGCTTCTAAAATCACTAAGACACAGATTCTGCAGACAGAAGTTATTCTTGTCAGCTGCCTGTTAAAATATGAAGTACACTATCCAAAGATGCCAGAGACTTGAATTTCTGCAAGTTCAAAACCAGAATCTGAATGAGGAAATTCTGATGGTTATAGAGACCACAACACTATATTCAGCTGTGGCAGACTATTCCCACTGTCTCACTTATTTACTGAGCTGGACAATGCATCTTATTTCACGGGCACAGTGTGTGTGTCCCTTACCTGGAACTCAGGTGGACACCATTAAAATCCAACAAGAGGAATATTTCCCACCTACATAATCTACTTCTGCATACAAATGAGGGTATGGGAAACATCAGAGAGGTGAAATTTCAAAAGGCAAGCGTGCCTTGGTGTTTCAAATGAACCCAGCCAGACTGGAACCAGAGGGATTTCTTCAGAGCTTGACCCCAAAGAATCTGTTTCTAGTCCTTAAAGCAGCTGCAGCTGCTGAAAATTCAGCTTCTGCTTTTTCTGGCACAATTGCTCGTGCTGGACATGCTGTTGCTCCCACTCCTCTACCACTGGTCCATCTGTACAGTCTGGGGAGGGTCCAGGGACACACACACACATTTCCAAAGCCAAGAGGAGAAAAATTCATTTCCCTGACACAGGAATGGGGCTGCTGGCCCAGAAGTCCTCCAAACAATGCAGCATCCTCCATGCAGCAGAAGCAGGATGGGTTAAGGATGATAGGACACATCAAGAAGGAAGGAAAGACTCCAAGTGCACACTGCTGGACTCTCCAGCAGCCAAAATGCTGCTCCTGTGCACAGCCATGTGCTCCCTGGCCTGAATCTTCTCACCAAAGCTGAATCTGGTTTCTAGCCCAACCAAACCTGTACTTTCCCAGCTATTCCCACTGCAAAACACTGCAAATCCAGTGAACAGTTCCTCCTACAAATTCTTCTACAGTTCTTCCTCAAAAGCCTGAGTCCAGCTCATTTAGCCTGACATTATGCATTCAGTTTTGAGAGCAGCAGAGATGAAATGCTCTGCTCATTCCCCCCACCCTGTGCTCAGAGCCCATCAGAAGAGATTCCCTCTGCCTCACTTGTCATGCAGGACAACTGGATACCCAGATGAGGTTAACAAAAATGTTAGTTATTTATTTAGGCTCTGATCCAGTGGAGCACATGCTTAACTACAACCAGGATGTGCAGCCAGTTGACTTCAAAGGAACTATTCCCCCTGTCTAAACTGTTAAATATCTGCACAAGTGCCTGGTGGACTGCAGTGAATACAGAGGAGGGAGCAGGGTTTGGGGGAGCTGCACACACGTCTGTGGAGGAGATTGCTCAGAACTTTGCTGGCCTCATGCCCTGCTCACCAGCTCTTTCACTGAACACTCACCAGAATCCCATGGACAGTTTGCAGTGGGGCTGTTAACACAAATCTAACACTAGAGATTATTGCATTCAGGATGGCAGTTTATGCAAAAACATGTATTTCTACTCAAATTGTTGGCAGAGAAAATAAGTGAAAGAGGTGAGTAATATTGAACTGCAATACAGATATTTCCTGTCTCAAACTGGGGGAGAAGGGGGTAGGAAGTAGTGTTTTTCTAGCACCATTACACCATAATTTTGTGCTCACTTTCATTATTCAGAGATCACTTCTGTAAAAATGCATATTTCTTTTGCATCTTAAAGGATGCAAAAATTTAAAACACCAAGAAATTTCCGTTCAGAATTTGTGGTAACTGTGAGGAACATGGGACATGCATTGTATTGTGAGGTTAAGCTCAGACAATTAGAGGAAAAAAGACTGTTGTCCCTAAACACCCTTTTTCTTGCTTTATCTGATGTGTTTGACACGTCACTAAGTTCAGAATTACAGAGTGCAAAGAATTTTGATCAAATATTTCTATAAAGATCATTTCACATCTGAAATGCATGACTTTTCAAATACACAAACCAATCAGGAATGACACCCCTCCTCTATCTCAGTTGTGATAGAGGAGAGTTGTTAAAGTGGTTATTTCCTGGGGCAAAGAGAGAGAAAACTTATTTAGTTTATGGTATTTCTCTCCCTCTTTCTTTAGGAGATAACTCCCTCCCTAGTGCTGACACACTGTCTGCTCAGCTGATTCACCCCTAACTGCACACAGAGCACCTGAGCTCAGCTGTGTTCTCAGTTCCCCACCTTCCTTCTTCTAGGAAGGAGGGCTCCAAAACCTCCCCTATTTTTTCCACTCCTACCAGCTGGGGTGAGGAAAAAGCCCCCCTGTGCTACAGCCACGTCCTGACCCTGACTGTGACACCTTTGCTCAAGGGGAGAGATGCTTTTGTACAACCTTGTTAAGAATGCACAAAAACAACACAGAGCTCTTTCACCTGAGCCATCTGAGCAGCAAATGTATCCTCTTCTTCTTAGATTTCTGCCTGACCAGATAACCCCATCACTGACCATGGGCATTACTGGTTGTAGGGAATTGATAAACCAGACCTTCCCATACCTGGTCACAAAAACAGCAGCATCCACAGGAGGGGTGTCATCCCTGGCACCAGGAACCTGGTTGTTACCAAGGTATTTTGCCCCACCATATTCTTCATTTTGCCACTGACAGAAGCTCTCCAGAGATCTCTCTCCATGATGCCCGATGGACAACTTTGCCTTTGGGAAAAAAAAAAAAAAGATATATGAAAGGAGAAATTATTATAGCCAGTCTTTAGCTAAAGCATCAGACCTCTCTGTAACATCTAACTCCAGACTGGTTTGCAGCTACAAGCAGACAGCTTTACCAGGAAGGATAAATAAAAGGATTCTGGTTCCTTTCACTTCCACAGCCCTTGTACTTCCCACCTTTAACACTGCCTGGTGAAGTGGACCAGGTAACTCCTCACAGTTTGTGATGCTGAGGCCCCACATCCCCTCCACCCTGTGGGACACCACAGAGCAGTTCCAGGAGCAGGGCAGAAAGGGGCTGGAACTCACAGGGCGACTGTGGAGCAGGACTAGCTTGGTCACTCGAATGTTGACTTTAATTCCCAGGCTTTGATGCTGGAACATGTTGTACACCTGTCAAAAAGCAAAGAAAACATCCACAGCTTATTAGTAGAAATATCAAGACTTAGTAATAGTAGAAGAAACTAATTGTGACTAAAGTTAGACATTTCTTCTTTTAAAAATTGACACAAAAACTCCCCTCACATAGATTGTGCTACTACGCTCAATAAAATAAAGAATATTTAGGAATGCTGTGAAATGGAGAAAAATATTCCAAAGGAGCTCTAAAGATAAAGTCTCAGGAGCATGGACATACGTTATGAAGCATTCAACCAACATGGATCTTCAGCATTTAAATATCAGGGATATCTGAATGCAAGATGAAATAATGGTGTGTTTTAGACTTCAGGAAATAGAATGGAAAAGCAATTTCCCTCTGTTATTTTCATATCTTATATAAGAGAATAGTAATAAGGCAGCACATAATGACACAAGCCTCAGGAAATACAAAAATAGCACCGGAAACTACCTTACTACTTTCTCCAGATTTTGCATTCCAGCTCAGATACTTCACCTCATTTTTATAGGTTAAAATAGAAGATCTTAATTGATCCCAGAATTTTATTCCACACGTTGCTCAGTGTACAAATGTTTTAACTAGACAGTATCAAAAAAGGTGAGGGAAGGGTTTATTTCAAAAGGTGTAAAAGGCCACATAAAAGGTCTTGGGTGAATATTGCATCCCCTATTTCATCAAAAAAACCAAAATCAAGATCAGTGAAGAGAGACTCCTGACAAATGGGAGGCAGGTTTGGCCCCAGGTAAGCAATATTCCTTGCTCACAGCTCCTTTGGCTACAAGCATCACCCAGGCTCAGAAACTTCCTACAGCAAACCCGAGACACGAGCACATCTTGCACATCATGTTTTCAACGCTTGGTATTTTTCCTATTTGTGCAAATGCTCAGGAATGTGCTCAGTGGAAGAAGCTCTCCAGTGTTTGGGGTTGGATTTAAGCACACACATAAATGTTTCCTACAATTTAGGCACAGATTGCAAGACAGAGCTACTCAGTGTTTGACCCAGTGACCTTCAGCTGAGCACAGTGAGCCATTTCTCTTCCCTGGGGCTGGTGTACAAGTGCACACAAGGGCTGGCACTATTTGCTCAGCCTGGGGATGTGTTGGGAGAGCATTCAGGCCTCTCTCTACACACCTGGCAGGGAAAAACTTGACATTTGCAGAGAAGGGCTCTGACAGATGACCCCTGTGTAAGTGGAGACCTGCTGCACCACTACAGAGGCTGACAAACACTTCCTGGGATGGATGGATGGATGGATGGATGGATGGATGGATGGATGGATGGATGGATGGATGGATGGATGGATCTTTGGTTTCCCAGCTCTCCAGTAGCTCTGGCCATCCCATGAAGTTCCCACTCATGAAATGAGAATAATTGCAGCAAACAGGTCCTTATCCCTGAGCCTGCTGGGTGCTGGTGCTTGGCTTCCCATCAAAGCAGTGAAGCTGCCTCCAGAGCCAGCACAGACAAATCCAAACACCCCTGACTTCCAAAGGCTGCTTGCCCTAGCAAAACCTGCCCACCAAGCACCAGCTGCTGGACAGTTCAGGATGTCACCTTGAAAGCTGCCAGCCCTTCCTCCTTTTCTCTTGTGCTCTCTGTCCTAAGCATAACTCTGACTGCACTTTTATTCCCATTCACCTTCCACCCTCTTCTGATTCTGATTTCAGAAGAGCTCAAACAGCAGCAATTGGACACTAAACCAAAAAAAAAAAGTCCCTGGGAGTGCAAGAGGCTCCACTCTGCTTGTTTATTCAAGCTTTGTTTGCTTATTTTCTTAAATGAAGGCCAAAGGAGCCCCAGGCTGATGGTGGTTTGTGTTGCCTAGAAGGAACATTAACCTTTCCCTCTAAGAGGGAGATCACTTAACAGTTACAGGCAACACACACTTGACTTGGAGAAAATATAATTTGCCAATTAAAATAATTTGTATACAGAGCAAAAAAAAAAAAAGACAAATTAAAACAACACCTTCCCCTCACCTCATCTTTACTCCTGCATTCCTGACTCCTTCCCCCTCACCCAGAGCCAGGCAGGTGGATGGGGACTGTCCTCTGGAACAGCTCTCTCTGCTGCTCCCTCCTCACACTTTTGCCCTGTTGCAGGATGGATCCTCTCCATGGGCTGCAGTTCCCATCAGGAAAACCTGCTCCAGCACAGGCTCCTCTCCTCAGGTCACAATGTTGGGAACAGCCACCTGCCCCACCATGGTCTCCCCCCAGGCTGGAGGGCACCTCTGCTCCAGCACCTGGAGCTCCTCATCCTCCTCCTCTGACCTGGGTTTTTTCCCCACTTTTTTCCACTATTCAGCCTTATTCCCCTCTTTTGAAGATGTTTCCACAGAGGCCTCCCCAGCTCTCCTGACAGGCTCTGCTGTGCCCTGTGGGGAGAGCTGGGATCATCACCGTGTCCAGCACGGGGCAGCTCTGGGTCTCAGCCCCACCCAACACCATCATTTCAGAGGGAAACTTCTCTCAGATCATGGGCTTTAAGGCTAGAAGGAATCCCATGGAGAAGGCAAATAGACTTTTAAATGACTTGATAAAAAAAATATGAGCCTGACACAGCTCAGGTTGTTCCCAGCTGGATTTAAACCAGGCTGTCCAGGTAGATTGTGCCCAAAGGAAGCATCATCACAGAATCCAGCTGAATTTAAAATAAAATAATTCAGATACATAGGTCTTTCCTGCTAAGAATGAAATTCCATCATGGCAGCAACAACCTTCTGCCTTTCTCACCCAGCCAACAAAACCAGACTCCAGAGACTGTGCTGTTCCACACCACATCCAAGTGTCCACTTGCAGCACATGCCAAGTGAGGTGGTGGGATAACTGGTACCAGGCCATGAGGAATGGGATTTCCCAGTGCAGATGTTCTCAAGATTTCCTGCTGCACAGACAGAGAGACTGACTCACAGACACCTCCCTGCCCACTCCCAACACCATGGGCCACCCTTCCTCAAGCCTGCAATTGCATCACACCCTTCAGGCTGCTGTGACTACTTCCAACAGGGGAAAAGTAAAAATACTTGGGTGGTTTAGAACCTTTTAATAAAATAAGGCAGCTGGGAACAGAAGTGTCAGCCGTATGAAACTCTGCCATGGAGCCAAATGCAAAGGTTACTTGTTTAGGACACCACCACAAGTGGCAGAAAGCAGCTTGGATGGAAAAGAAATGGAGGTTCTGGATCACTGGCATGAAAGGAAGGGATGGGAAAAGTGGTCAATGTGACTGAAGTGTTGTGAGTGCCCTGCTGCAGGGGAACTTCTGCACTTCTGTACTGGCTTCTCTGTGTGGAGTCATCGAAAGTAGGGTGAGCTCTGGAAGCAGGAGATGTGGTAAAGAACCATACAAAACAGACAGAAAGAAATGGAAGGAGAAGTGCAGTAGAACAAGAAGAAGAATAAAGCCTGTCTCTGGCATCTCCCCCTTCACCTGCATTTCTCTGACAGTGCTTTACTGTACAGAATGCCCTAAAGAAAACAGGAAAGCTTGGAGGCTGGACCATCCTCCTCTGTGTGCATTCCTCCTGCCTTTCCTTCTCCTCACAGCTCTGACATGGAAGGGGCAGAACAAATGCAGTTCTGGCATAAGCTGTGCAGGCCTGCCCCAGCATGCACAAAGCAAACACAGACATAAGGAATTGGGCCCAGAGAGGAACTAAACTACATCATTTTAATTTTTTTTTTTAATTCTCAAGAGCTTCCTCTGCAGGTGGACGGTGGGAGGGAGACGTGTGTGTTTCAGATGTTTTGGAGTTTAGAACAGCAACCCTGAGGGTAAATTGACTTTTTTTCCCTTTTTTCTTCCCTGAGCACTGCACTCAAGCAGGAGCCTTCCCATTGCCTTGGCTGCTGGATGAGGTTTGGACAGCAGAAGCCTTAGTCAGGTTACTGAGGTTGTCTTTCTCTTGTTTTGAAAAGTGCTATAGGATTTCTAACACCCACCTAAAGCCAAGCTTTCAAATTATTCCTTTAAACATTATGAAAAAGAACATATTCATAGCTCTGTATAAGATACAGTTGACATAACTCCTTCTCCTGGGGCTGCTGGAGCAAAAAGAGAAATCTGTAGACAGTGATGAAACACTCAGATCCTTTTCCCTTATGTTCCCTTATGTCCCTGCTCTCATCATGAAAATTCCAGACCAAGGTAAGGGAGCTGATTATCAGTGGCAGCTCTGGAGCCTTTATGTGCCAGCCCCCAAGAGCACAGACACATAAATCCATCAATGCAAGCATGATAAAAATGATTTTATCTGCTTTTTTAACATTAAAAAAACCCTCACAGGGGAAATCCAAAATGAAAAACAATCTGTGGAGCGTAAAATCAGGCTTCAGAGAGTAAAACAGTATCATTCCTAAAGAACAACATAAGAATTTTCCCTCTTAATGGCATCCAAAAAATCACTAACTTCAAGTTCCTGCTTGCTGCTGCAAAGAGCTTCCACAGTAATCTCATGGCTTAGCAACAGCTGCAGGAGAACTGCAGGAGAACACACTGCAGAAACTCCCTCCACACTGCACTCTCAGGGAAAAAGGCAAGCTCCAAACCAAGCCACAGTTGTAATTTATTGCAAAACCCAAAAAATACACTTAGGGGACAAAAAAAAAACCCAAACCCATAGAAAGCAGCTGTTAAACGACTGTGTTGTGGTCTTGGAAATTCAGAAATTCAGACGTCTCTGTCTCCAAATGCTCTGAGGGTCAGTGTGGGTGGGACTTGGTTTGCAAAGTCAGCTCTGCACTCTGCAAGGAGCCAACATCCACAACTCCCTACTCAGGGCCTGCCTGGAAACAGCCACTCCTCATCCTCAGCAACACAACAGCCGTGGACAGGACTTTCCAAAGGGTCTCATCCCCATTTATCACCACTTGAACCAGTTATCTCCAGAACCAATTCTCTCCAGAAAGCTGAAAACCTAAACCATGAAAACCAGACAAAGCAGAGACCAGTGCAGTTCCTAGAATCTCCTTTTTCCTTTACTGGTCACTTCTTTCAGATGAAAAGCAGCCACAAGAGCAAACAAAAGCACAGAACTCCTGCAAGAACAGAACATTCACCCTCACAGCTCCACATGGATGAAATGCACTGAGAAATTAGCTGCCAGAGGCAGACCAGCAGAATGGGTGAGCAAAACAAGCATGTTTTAAAGCTGGATTTACCACAGAGGCACTTGGGTGTGGAATTCAGAGGAAGTTCTGAACACTGGTCACTACAGAAGGAGGACATGAACAGGAGATGCTCTCAAGCCAAAGGTGAGACAAGAACTGGAATGGAAACACTGCAACAAAGCTCAGTAAAAAGGGAGTTTAGCCTAGAAAAAGAGATCAGCACCTATATCTGTGTAGGTGGTTTTGCATTCCCACAGCTCTGCTGGTATTTCTCCCTGTCCATGCTCTTCCATTCCTCACTGCCTTGCTAAGGCTGCAGCTGGGCATGGTGGCATTTGACAACAACTTTAGCACCTGTTTGGAAAACAGTGCTGAATCAAACACCTTGCCAGAAAACAAGAAAAGATTTGTTTTTAGCAGTGGTGACTTGAAAAAAGCCAACTCAAATCCCTGGAGCCCTGCTTGTTCCTACTAATACATTACAGAGCACCTTAGAGGGAAATTCTTCCGAGATCTTGGAAAAACCTGTCTTATAATTTCAAGCATTAGTTTAGTAAATGGAAGAGCCTGCTCCTCTACAGTGACATTCACAAAAAACAAGTACTTTTAATGTGAATCTACTCTCTGTTCAGGGGCATGGAACTACAGAATAACATTAAAAACACAGCATTTGCTACATGAAGTGCTACCTGTTATTTCTGGGTTCCAAAATGGGTTTGCTGTGCTTTTAAGCTGTTATTCTAGAAGAGGGTGGTGGGGATTTTTCCTCTAAGATTCTCATTTACCAAGGGAGCAATAAACCTGTATTTTGTAATGCTGACTTTTTCCCCCTTCAGAAATTCTTGTAACATAAATAGATATTAAATACTTTAAGGCAGATCACTTTATTTAAAATGTCTATAAATATAAAATGCATTAATAAGACCTCTTAATGCTTGTTTTGTGGTTTGACAGTAAATGTAATGGCTTACAGAGAGGAGTTAAGTTAATATACCCCTGACCAGTAATGTTCTATTTGCTTAAATGCAAGCATCCAAGCCAAAATTAACATTCTGGTTTCTTTTAGAGGCAGCCTGCCATCCTGCAGTATAGCTGAATAAGCACTGCCTAATAACATGGGGCAAATCCTGTCCCCCAGCTAACAGTCACCCAAGGCTGACAGGGAGGCAAGAAACAAAGATCCCAAGCAGCCAAGAGCTTGACTTAAGGCCTCCCCAAACCACATGATTATCTCTCTGAAATACATTTTTCTGAATTATCCTTCAGCTTCTTTTCCTGGGGTGAAGGTCAGCTCTCATTACACAAATGTAACATCAAAATCTCCTTTGATTTCCCTGAATTTCACCTGGTTTTATCACCACAGAATAAAGGATTTATGCAGTGATGCCATGCATGTGTTTTGCCTATCCTTATTCCTCACTATCTTTTGCCAGTCACTGTCAAGCAGTTTCCTTCAGAGGCCTGAAAAATGTTCCTAAGAGCGTGGGAATGGAGGTGGCTGAGGGAGAGACCCTCCCATTGCCCCTCTGAAGGCTGAAGAGCTGAAACATGAATTCAAATCCTATCAGACACCAGAAAAGCCTCACACCAGGGAGCCCCCAGGAGCAATGACTTAACAGTGGGAAGCATTTCAGCTGGACCCTGCACCTGAGGAGATGCACATGAATGTGTTCCTCATCCAAGAGTCCTCTTCCATGTGCTCTCCCTGGTGTCTAATAAAGGGGTGAGCTCACCCTACAGCATCAGAACTCAGCTTAAAAGCCCATCAGCTTAATCCATTGGAAACTAACCTTCAATATTTGTTTAATAAATGGGTTTAGAGAACCCAGCCCATCTCTGAGCACCTCCCCATACAGATTTATTCACACCTGGCAAGCTGATGTTGCTGAGATGTTCTGCAGCACCTCAGTCTGGACAGACAACAGGATTCAAAGACCCACAGCCATCTTTTGTTTAAGACTTGGTCCATCAGTCTGTTCATCCCTAACAAGCTTGACAGGCTGAAAAAGCTGCACAACACAGACATTCCCAATGGCCACAGTGAAATCATTGCCCTGCTGGCATGAGGATCATCAAAAGTAACTGCAGAGCCACAGTGGAGCCCCATCAAGTGACGAGTCTGAGTGTACACTGAGGCAAAATGAAAGGTAGAGGAAGGGACACAGAAAAGCAGCTCATTAATGGAAAAGACTAATCAAACTCCCTACTCAATCAGCCTCCAGGAGGGCTCCCTCACACCAGTGCTTGATGAAAGAACACAAGACCTCTTAAAAAGCTGTTGTTCCATAGCTGGTTTATGCTGAGCATCCATCTCTTCACTGGGAAGCATGACCAGGCAATTACTGTTCAGGACTGTTATTTTTTCCCAAGCCAATTTGCTGCTCATAAACACCAGCAGAGGCACAGTGAGGAGAATGAGCTGTTCCTGGATATTACAATAGCATGGGCAAAGGAACATGAGCTTCCTCCAAGACTTTCTTGTGCAAATGCCTCTGTAAGGACCCCTGCAGCCTGTGAGAAGAGTTTTCCATGTCTACATCCAATTTAGCCATTACCTCCTTAGTGGCACTGCCAACAGCTGAGTGAGCATTCCCTGTGGGAGGCTTTGTGTTCCCTTATCAGCTGAGCCAGAAAGGCCCCACTACAGAGACAGCTCACAAATTAACACCCACATTTCTCATGAGCCTGCAATTTCCAAAGATTCCCCTCACTCCCAAAATATACCCCTAGGATTTCTAGAATGATTTTCAAGCCCAACTCCATCAACTATTCACAGGTGTGATCAGCACCATTTCATGCAGCCCTGGGGTGAAAAGAATGGGATCAGCCAGCAGTTTGGTCATAAGCTTGCCACATCTTCTACATCAAGGGAAGAAGCCATTTTCATTGTGTAAAAATCAGAGATAAAAATCCTTTTGGACTTAAAGCCAGGTCTTCTGCTGGAATCAATATGACTGCTGGCTTTAACTGCCTTAACAATGAGCCATATCTTTTGTGAAACGGGTGTGCCATAGGAATCTTTAGGAACTCAAGAAACATGTCAGACAAGACACTCCTCCAAGGTAAACCACAGCAGCACCAAAAGCCTGGTAGAAAACACCACTCCTGAACCACTATTTCCTCAGTGAAAACATGCATTTTCAGTTTTAAAAATGGGTTTACCAGGAATAACACAATTGGAGAAGAGGTACATAACACAAGAAAACCAAAACCTTTTCTCGTACCCGAAGGTCAAACCAGTTCTTGATTTCTGCTGCCAAGTCAGCTTTATCCTACCCTGGATATGTCCTGCTTACTCTTGTTTGCTCTTTGGAGAGTAAAGTGCCTACTTACCATATTCATAACAGTGAGGATGAACCTTTGGGCAGCCTCAGCTCCGTGGTACTGCACCATGTCAGCATCTGCCACCACCAGCGTCTCCACCGTGTACTCGCTGGTGAGGCGGATCGCGTTCCTCCGCTCCCGCCAGTCGCTCGTGGCCTTCACTTTCTTCTGTCTCTTCTTTTCTGAAAAGTCAAAATGCCTTTTAAGGCTGGCAGATCATAACAAAACACTCCCAGCCTTTTCAACAAACACCCTGGTGTGTACTCAGGTTGTATCAACCTTTAAATTGAAGTGTTCTTGGCTGGTTAAAGAAGAGGTTGCATTGCAGGTACGTCTGTGCCTGTGTGTGCAGAGAGCAGCAGATGATGTGAAAAGAGGGAAGAGGATGGGAAAAACATAAGTTCAGGAAAAAGAAAAAATTAACTAATTCAAATAAAAATATTACAGATAAGTTAAACCTTCCTTCCTACCAACCAAAGGACTTATGTATTAATAATTTGTCTTCTTCTAAGCTGAAAGGTGACCTGTGTTTCACAAGTAGATGTGCAAAGCAGCTGAGTCATGACCAAAGGAGAAATTAAGTTCAGATATGAATTCAAACCTGCTCATTTCACTGCAGCCACAAAATTGTGTTCGTGCTTTCAATTGCAAAAAGAAAGAAGCAAATGAAGTAATTAAAACAAATTTATTCTTGCAATAAGAAACAGACTTCTAAGATTCACTGAAATGATCTCTGCCTACTGCTCAGCCTGTGATATGCTATGGGTACTGACACTGCTATTACTGTTGATTTTTTCCTGTGGAAAAGGGAACAGAATACATAAGTCCTGAAACAGCACAAACACAACATTCAGTGCAAAACTGACATGGGACAGAGCCTAATGGATGGTCAGACAAATCCCTCTTATGTCACACAACACGTGCTGCTCATTCCCCAGAGCAGAGAATCACTTTTTAATTTTCTCTAGATTTACCCTGAGACCCTCTCTGAGCAAAGCAGCAGCCAGAGCTGAGCTGGTGTTCACTGATCCTGATTTTCCACAGCCTGTTTACCAGCTCCCTGACATAATTCAGCTTGAATTTCCCTTCTTTCCCAGATCATCAGCTTTGCCTGACTGGCCCTCCTGCATTCAGGGTGACAAACTCCATCAGCTGCAAGCCCCCCAAAGCCCACCTGAAATGGACTCCCTGCCTTCACCCATTCATGCATTTTCTGCCTTGTCAATATGCACATTTCACCACGTCCATCCCATCTCCTCATTCCTGGGTTTCTTCAGTCATCCAGTACAATTCTGCACGTGCTTTTCTGCCCAAGGCATCAACTGTCAACACTTGGTACATATTTTAAACTGAGAAAACAACCATGAAATTTGATTTTTTTTAAGAGAGTTTGGAAATATCCCCCTGGGTTGAAAGAGACAGACAGGAGTGTATGGACAGGAAAAAAAAAAGAAAATGGGGGGTGATCATAAATTATGGAAGCTGCATGCCAGCAGCAAAGATGAAAATAACCAAGTTTCAAGGCTTGTTTTCACATGGGCTGCAGGACAGCTACAGAAAAAGTGCACAATCATGGCAAAGCTGCCCCAGAGCAGAGGATCTCTATAATGAAAATAAAATAACTAAAATAAAAAAGATTGACTTTACAAGAAAGAAGGAGAGCTGAATGCACCTTTGATTTGCCAACTATGAGATGGAGATGATTTCAAACTCCTGTGGAACAGCTCACATGTTTGTGTGTTATTTTATTTCTTTCATTCCATTCATTTCCCATCCCTCCCTCTGCACAGCAGTACATCTTTAGCTACAGGTCCTCAACATTATCATTTAAATACCAAGGAGGAATCAAAGAAAAAAGAAAAGAAGGTGAATTCTTTCAGTAAAAACACTGACATTTTGGGTCTTACTGCTATCAGTCAGAACCTTCCTGAAGACAGCAGCATTTCTGCATCAAATTGTTATTTTGGCAATCCCCTAACAAATGTTTCCAGGTGGTACAAATCTCATACCTGTAGAGAAGTTCTTATGGAGGGGCCAAGCCTTGATTCAACTAAGTCTCGGCCTGGCATTGAACGAGCCATGTAAAAAAGTTTAAAATGGAAGGAAAAAATTGGAGTTCTCTGAGTTTTCCCTTAAAAAACTCTTTTTTGGTGGGAAAGAAGACATTTGTGTCAGAGGAGGAACTGACTCTGCTGGACTGGAGCTCACTCTGGGGAGAAGAGGTCATGCCATGGGCATTTGCCAGTGTGGTCTCTTCTCCTGAGGCAGGTGAAGGAACTGGCACTTCTGAGCAGAACAAAACTCTGCAAGCTGTGACTTCTGGAGAGCTGCAGCCAAAGGGGCTCCTGGCAGAGGGCTGGGCAGCCTTGGTTCCCACACAGCCTCTGGCCCTGTTTCCCCCTGGGCTGGCTGCTTTCCACAGAGGGGCTGGGATTGGAGGATGTGTGTGGAAACGCAGCCAGAGTGACCTGACAGGAGAATCCTGTCTTACTCACCTTCACACTGCCCAAGTGTAAATTTACCTGCACCTAAAACAGACAACAGGACTTGAGGGAGCCCACAAAGAGCTCAGGAGGTCACTGCTGAACCCTCCACAACAGGCACAGCAACACCAGCTACTTGAAAAAAGAGAGGTTGTTCAAGTTTGTAGCTCCTCCATAGGGTAAATTGTTTTATCATTTCGATCCACTTTCACAGTGGTCTCTCTTTGCATCCTCCTGCCCACCACAAATGCAAATAATTTTCCAGAATAATCAAGCACATGGAGAAAAGAGGGCATTTGCATGGCTGAACCACAACAAAGAGAAAGGAAATGCACGTCCTGTATCACAGATGTTTGATGAAGAGAAAGATCCAAAACCAGCAGGAAAAATTCTCTTTAAGTGCATTTGCAGCTCATACCTGAAAGTGAGTCAACTTTATGGAGGTATCCAAAAAATAAAAATACCCCATCTCTAGAGCCTCACTTCAGAAAAAAGCCAGAGAAGTCTCATTCCTGCCCTGCAAGATTTATGGACCATGGGCAGAGGATCCCTCCATGAGTACATGAAACCCCAAACTAAAATAAACATCAGCCATTAAACCAAGGATTAAATGCTTGGTGGATTCTTTATTTGAACAAACTGATGTTACAAATTTTGTGGTGCAGATGTCAAGTGTTAGTGTGAAGGCATAAGAGGCCATAAACCACGGGCAGGAGCTGTCAGAGAAGTTTACATTGCAGGGAGCACACAGCACATGATTTTAGGAGTCAGGTGTTCCCTGCTTAAGAGGTCAGAGAATTTAGTATGAAATATGAGCTGAAACAGTCAATCTACAACACAGCATGTACATGCTGCAGGTGACTGGGCACAGGGGACATTACTCTTTGGCCAGTCACTCTGACAGTGTGTTTTACAGTCTATTGGACAAAAAAATCCACAAAATTCAGGACTGTGAGGTGAAGGGAGAAGGGTGAAACACCCCCAGATCCTCAGCAAAAAATGGCTGTGGCACTGCACAAGTTCATGTTTAGGTGACTTTCCTTTACCCTTGCCTGGCTCACCACCTTCAAAGCCACATGATCACACCACGTCCTGCAGTCTTTGAAGTCTCCCTCAGAATGGGAAGAAGCAGAGTCCCCACTGTGATCAGAAGCACAACAAGGCTCTTCTGAGGCCTCTGTAGAAAACTCCTGACGTTCAGTGCTTTTTATGGCAACTCAACAGATGTGCAATTCCAGAGCAACCGCCCCAAATGACCTTTTCCTATTACACACCAAAAGCACTGTCTAGCACTGTCTGGCTTTTGGCAGATTCTTGCTGTAAGTACAGAGTCCTTTCCTGTTCCTCCTACCTCCCTTCCAACTGTATTTCCCAGACTCATCTAAAAGCAACATCTTCTCCTACAGCCTTCCACTATTTTTCCTGCCTAATCTTTCCCTTTGTAATTTTAGCTACCTCATTCTTGTTAAACCCACTGACGGTTTCTGGATGCTGTTCAACAGAAGCCACAAATAAAAGTTAAACTGCAGAATCCTTTCTGTAAGGCCAGATTTCTCCTTAGAAGCTGTTTTCTATTGCTGCCTTAAAAACCCTCTCCAGCTCTTCCTCAGGAGCCCTTTGCTCCCTTCCCTCCTCCCACAACCCCTTTAACATCTCCCCATACCCTTGATGGAGGGCAAGCTCTGTTTTACCATGTCCTGTTATTTCAGCAGCATAAAAAGGAAGAAAGGGCATCCAAGTGGGGCAAACAGCTAAAATTAATTCTCCCTAAGCCCCAGGAGTTTCCAGAGAACCTCTGACTGGTACTCACATTAGGCAGGTTTTATTAGCTTCACCTAAAAGTAAAAATCATCACCTCTCCAAAGCAAAACAGAAAGAAAAGAGAGATTTTGCACACAAACCAAGCCTAGAAATTAAAGAAAGGAAATCCTTGAGGTGTATTCTCAATCTAAAACCCTCTGTCACTGCTGAATTATCGGAGGGACAAGATGCCACAAAATGTCCCTGGTAGCAGCAGCAGGATAAAAGCACCTCTCAAAAGGTGATTAATCCCAGCCTCTGCCAGGATACAGCACAAGAATTATCTCTGTGCCCTGGCCTGTTGTATCTCCACCAAAACCTTGGAATTTCAGATTTACCACAGCCAGCTGATGCCAGTGATTGCCTGAAGTTCAGGAATTACAAATGGTTGCTTATTGAAAGAACAGTTGATTACAGACTGAGAGTTGTCCTCTCATTTTTAATGCCCTGTCCTACAAAACTGCATCTCCAATTTGTCTCTGACTGGAATGGCAAAATCAGGCATCAACTGCTGGGAAAAATTATTGCAGAGCAGAATGATCCATTATTCCCTAATTCACCTTCCAAAAATGGCTTTGTTTTGCTTTGGGGTTTTTTTGTTTATTTTTTTTCTCCCAAACAGTCACTTTTATACCAAATCACAAGTTCATGACTATTTCTCTGGCAAAGCAGCAAACAAGAACTTGAGACAGAAGTCATGAACTCTGAGCTGCATCTCAAAACACCACAGATTTTGCTGCAAGGATTGTTATCCAAGTTAGTCAGTGGCTTGGACACACCAGTTAAAACCTTATTCTTCTGCAAAACAAACTCAGTCATCAACACAACTCATCAGGGCTTTGTTTAATGGCAGGTCAGGATAAGCACTGTGATCTCTGTTCAAGGGTTCAATTTGTCAC